TCGATTCATACTTTTGTAATACACCAATGATTTACGACAATGAAAAAAGTGTAACAATTTTTGTCGTTATTGTTGCAGCTATTAGTACTACTGGTTAATTCTTCTCTCTGTTTGAACATTGAAATCAATTTACTTTGGTCGTGTTCTAGTGAGGAATTATTGATTTTGTAGTGTTTTTCTTTTCTGTAAGAAAATGAACTAAAAAAAACTTTTTAGCAGTAATTTGTAAAATAAGCTTAGGTAATAGAATCATGCAACTTAATCTGGTACATTTACAGCAATTCATATGTTTTCACGTGTATAGAACTTATCTTTGTGAGCTAATTTTATTTTTGATATAAAAATAGTTCTTAATTTATCTCCTTATTTTACAATATTAACTTATTCATTGGTTTGTAATTTGTTGTTTAAATAGGAAACACACGGCTGATCGTGTTTCATGTTTTATTTATTTTATGATCCGAAAGACATTCTTATCTTAAGTCAAAGCAAAATAAACCAAGCTTATAAGGAACTGATTTATAACTAATTGGACTTTTGTTAAGTGGAGATTAATTAAATTTGGAGAGATTTTTTGTCATGAACTGTTATCAAGTCCAGAACCAATGTAATCTGAGATGTATGCAAGATTACATACTATAATCCAATAACAGAGTATTAGATGTTATATACAAAGGTCTTCGGTATGATTCCTGACTAGATTTTGAGTGGGCGGTGACAAGGAGTCCTGAGTTACAACAAACCCTTTTGTTTAGATATCCCGTTACGTCGAAAATGCTCCATGATATGTTTCGTTCGAATGATGAAACTTTTTGAAGTATGGTCGAAACTGATTGCAAGTTACATTTCCTATTATAACTATGTAGCAATTTAAACTGCTGGTTTGAATCTGGACACGATCAAGGTAAGGCTTATTAATAAATTGGTTTTTTCATCATCTATTGTATGATGGACAGTTTGCTAAAAAATCAATCCTAGTTCAAATTCACTTGGTATTGTTTACTTGAATCCTCCGATTGACGTTTCGGACTTCAGTTGATCAGTCTTGTATTGGCATATGTGCAAACTGTGCGTATTGCCTCGTAACTACCTTAATCCACAAGCATTATAAGCAAAGATGGGTTCGAGTCCCAGTGTGAACACCAATTCTGAGATGCAGGTACATCCATCTGACAAGTCCCAAATAGAACGGAACGCGCGTCCTGGATTCCACTGCTAACCACTATCCATCTTTGCTTACAATCCTAGTCCACTTAAGTTTCATGAAATGTGGTAAATAACTGAAAATCCTTTTCATATTAGAATGTTATATACTATATTAGTAAATCCCTAAATAAATTTGGCTAAATGAAATATTCTTTACACAAATTGTCAGTTAAATGGTAACTGATTTCATAGTATACTTCTCAGAACTGACAAATGTTCACTAACTAGAGTTACTGTGCTGAGTGATTCTGACATTCAGTTATCATTTGAGAGTTTAAAGAATTTCGGTCAACTCGAATCCGAACGGCTGAAAAATATCTTTCAATATTGCTCCTGAAAAATTCGGACATATGAATGATCGGTGACTTTTGTCTTTCGATGGTGTCTCATTAATTCAAGTTTATGACTAAAGATGATGACGATATGACAATATACTTAAATAACCTCGCCTTATTTCTGCTTGTCATGAAGTCGCTTTTATTTCATAAAGATATTATAATGAATAAAACTAAGGAGAATTCAGCAAAGAAATTTTCCTTTTCGACGAAATCATTTACTTAATCTGTACATTCGTATTTATAGTTGTATGATAAATATATGTCTACAGAAGGATAGGAAAAATTTCGTCGAAAAGAAAATTTTCTTCGCTGAATTCTATTTATTCTTATTTAATGGCACACTTGGTTATATTTCAATGACTTGTGCTTGATGAGTACCAGACTGAAATAGAAGCGTAACGGCGTAATCACGGTGTTAAGCTCAGAATCCTAGTTGAATGGATAAAAATGTTGGGAACTAGATGACTTATGGATTAATAAAATAAAAATTATTAGTCTAGAGAAGGTTGGAGTCAGATCATTTAACTAATCATTATCTTATAGTTGAATTCATGAGTCGATTAAAGCGCAATTTCGTGAGTTGGTTGAAGTTAGACATTAACACCGTTGAATGCCTGCTCAGTAGTCTAGAGGTTGAGCGTTCATGCCCGAGACCAAAGATCTTGGTTTCCAGTCCTGTGAGCAGGATCGTGAATGCGCACTGCTGAGGAGTCTCATACAAGGATGAAACGGCCGTCCAATGTTTTTATGTTTACTATTGTGGTCTAACTTTAATCGACTCATGAATTCAACTAATAAAATACTACAATCTCCTCATAACCCCTTTTTCTAAGAGGTAATTGATCAACCCTCAAAATCAAAGGTCACATAATAGTCTATGGGAAAGAGATTTTGACTGTCACTAATACATTAAGTTGTACGTGGTTAAAAAATAGATAGATATTTAGCCTTCAAAAAACAGACGAGCATATATCAATTAAATTCTTTCGTTTGATGAAAAATAACTGCTTATTGGTAAGGGATTACATGCTGTTCGTTTTATCTTGAACTGTTGGAAAACACGAATTTTTCTCTCTCCTCTTCCACTATATACCAAAATAGAATAAGAGTAAATTATGGAAGGAATCAATTTCTTCAATTTGTTTCACTTTTAAATAATGCTAACAAACAGACAATTATACCTGTTATCTAGTCTGTGTAGAGAAGTATTAAATTTAAAGTTTCTCAGTTCAGTCTCATATTGGAGTATGAGTGAGTAAATGTTGAGGAATTGTAAACTAGACCTTGGGAAATATTTAATATACATTGGTTTTCAATGAGCTTTGTATATCTAGTCAATTCTTACCACATACTCAAAGTGGGATCTTAAGTGTTTGATTCCGTTTGGCTTTAATAATAATCCTTCTGAAAAACATGAAAGGTTTTGTCAGAAAATCTATTTTAAAATTTCAGTTTATGGCAAAATGAGAACTTATTGTAGCAGTCTTGAAGCCAAATATTGATATTAACTTAATTGATTGATCTATAGCAGTTCGAATTTCATTTTCTTTGATTTCAATGTTACCATTTCGATTCAGCTCAATAGTTATCATAACAAGAAGTGCCTGGTGAGTATTTATGTGCACCTATGTCTATTTATGTATAAAAGACTTGTTAATTATTATATATAGTTAATTGTCTTAGTAGTCTTTCTGAATTATCAATAGTCGTCACCTCACTTTATTATCTTCAGTTGAGAGTAGTTAGTTAAGGTCTTGTTAGTTAGAAAGATATCTAATTTAGTAATAGGCTTCAACAGAAATTTTTACTTAATATACATAAGCCATTATAGAGTTAAGTTGCATTGCTGGTAATAATAACCATAACTGCTAAAAAATTGCTTAATTCTAAAGGGTCTCATGCTAGGACAAAACAGCCCCCCGTTGCTCCCTGGTTTTCAATAGTTCTCTAAGAGCATTCCGTATTGTAAACAATGAAAAAGAGCAATTTCAACAATTCCCCTAAAGTAATAATAATTCCAGTTGATATTGTCGTATATTTACAGTGTTAGAAGAATAGTCTTAAGTAAAACAAAAAAATCAGGGAGAATATGTTCCTTGGAAAATGTTATGACCGATTTTAATCTCAGTAAACTGGAAAAGTAACTCTAGTTTTCCAGACATTTTATTATATTGATCTGAGACAAATAGTATGTAACTAATTAAATGATTATTTTTTTGCTTTGTTCTCATCAAAATTTCTTGAGTCAAAAATTATTGGCAGAGTAATAAAATTTTGTGAAAACTAGAATGTTTTCAACGAGATTTATACCAGAGTTGGACGTACTGATAGATGTTTTTGATGTGGCAGTACGCTTACTTCAGTCGAAACCATACTTTTCTTGTTTATAATTTCTGTTAATCTGATATATTTGAATCGTTTCATGTTAGTCCTAATGGCACGAATTATCTGTTTCATATTTGGTCTACTTATTTAAAACAACCTTTTTAAAGGTGGAGAAAAATCATAGGTGTTCACCAAAGTATATGCCACTTTTGTAATTGGAATATGTTAAACTATCACTTTTATTAACCATAACCAGATTCGTCCGGATAACTGAATGATCTCACTAACTGAACATTATCCAGTAAAATAACATAGACACTGAGCTGAATTATGCCGATAAGTGACTTTTAGATATTGATTATGCTTAATTCATTTGAGCATGTACTTTATGTTAGATAAAAAGAGTTTGTCACGTCAAGGGATATTTTTAGGTATCATCTATAGGCATGCATGTTTTTCTATTCCTCTGAGGCTAACATTACAACAAAACATTTATTTGAACTTTACTTCCGTGTTTCCTCGATTGATAACTCCATATCTGTACAAATACAATATAAAGCAATCTTAAAGGGTAGTTATTTTTTATTAACCACCTATTTTACCAGCGATTAATTACCCTTTATATTAATATCTTATCTGTGAATGATCTAATTTGTGTTGTTATGCTCTGAATTCTATCTCTGGGCCATACTTGAAAAAAGGAATTGAAATCACTAATCTTAGGCATAATGATTATGTGCACCTATTGGATAGTTTTTTAGACTAGATGGGAAGTTAGAGCTATACGATTTTTGTGGCTTGTGTTGATGTGTTTCTTAACATGTTTGAGTCTCTGTAATTTCGATCTCGACCAGTTCAGTAATTAGTTTCATACTCTTTTTGATGCAACCTATTGTCTCACCCATATAATGAAAATCTCCAGACAAGCATACATGACAAAATTTTGTCCTGATTTCAGGCCATAAAATGACTTAAGAGTAGCGTTAATAGATGAATGGTTTCAATTTGATGAGAAAGATCACCATAATACTTACTCTTCAAATAATCATGTAACCAATAGGAGTAAAGCCGTTTTGCTATTGGGTGAATTATAAACATTTAGTAAATACATTCAAGGTCACATTAGCAAAGGGCACTAATTGTTCTAGGTAAGCGAACAAGTTGTGCCATCACGAGATAAGGGTATTTTACTGACGATAAAAGTTCATCGCAATGCAAAGTTCCCTGGATGATTCTGTCTAATTAATGTGAAACAAAACATTTGATGGACATTTAAATATTTAAATAGTGGATTCCTGACATTTATTCTTGTATTAACAAACTCTCTTGTCCTGTGTTTCCAGAAAACTTAACTTTACGGATTAACCTAAGTACGTTGATGTTTAAATATTGCTTATCTACAATCCTGAATGGTAACATTTTGGAGTTTTTTAATTCTAATATGTTTACTTCATCGTTAGTAATTTTATTTTTATTATTTGATCAGTAGTGTGGTTTTGCATTTATCATCATAAGAAAGCTACATTAAGTAGGTGCAAATAACTAGTAAAATAGTGTTTTTATCGTTCATGATCTCAAATAACTTATTGTTTCATCAGAATACCTGAGCAATAAACATCTATTATCTGAAGCTATCACATGGGAATAAAACAGTATAATATATTTGCTAAGATTGAAGTCGTTAGTGGAATTGCATCCTTTTAAAATGTTTGGGAAAAGCTTAATGATGAACTTGATATGAGCCGATTTCAGAAGGACAGCTGTCAATTTTTTAATTTCTAAATAGAACTGGAAAGGTCGAAATGATGGTAGGTGCTTGGTGTTTTAGTGTTTCTTATAGATCAAATCTTAGGGAAAGGATATAGACAATCGCCCGTGCTTTTTATTCAAATGACTACCTAAAATTGATAAGACTAACTGTTAATAGAATTAGCAATTATAAATCACTTTAGACTAACAGATTGAATGCGTTATTCGTGTACATGATAAATGGCTTGAATGACTGGTAGCCACTTATTAGATATCAAGTGGATATATTTTACAGTAGTTACTTTTAGATACTTACTATTGATTAAGATTAGGGAACTTTAATACATTATTCAGTCTTATCTTTCTCATAGGATCGTGTTCATACTCTAAACATAGACTAAATAAGTAACATCAAGGAATATTTATCTAAATTAATTTATCTTGCCATAACCCGTGAAGTCGAGCTTCACTGGTGAGGATCATAGATATCCACATTTTAGTATGAAAATTACCCCTGGGATCCAGGTACATTCAGCTGATGAGTCACAAACAAGACTGGAGATGCTTCTTTATTTCCTCTGTTAGCCACATACTGAATAAACTGTGACTCAGCTATTACAATATGTATGCCAAAAATCCACACTAATAAAGTCATTTTACACTCTAATAAATCCATATTTCATATTCTTAATAAAAAATGATATTTACCTGAGGTCTGACTGTTTTAGTTTTATTTAAAATCATAATTGTGGAGTTTTTTAGCAGTTCATTATTTTTGGGTGGTTAATTTTTTTATTTACGCTATAACTGTATGGTTTATAAATCTATTAAAAATGTGATGTGTTTGTATATATGTTTAGGGTAACGAGCTAGTGTTAACAGTTTTCCACCTTCAAATTTCCGGTTAATGAATGACTACAGGCTTTGAAGAAAACTAGTTTTTATGTGAAAAGACAATAATTTTATTTTATAATTGCGAAAAAGCAACAACAAGGATCATTAAATCAGTCTCGACCAGCAAATGACCCTACATATGCGTATGTTGGCCCAAGTTGCCATATCACATTAGCACGACGAAATGAATTCGGAAAGATTAGTTGTAAAGAAATCGAAGTAATGTAGCAGAAACGTTAATGGGAAAGGCTAAGAATTTCACATTTGATTCAGGAAGATAATGAACAATGATGTGTGAGGGAAAACTGAGACTCAAGATCTAGAGAAATATAAAGATTGAATTTAGAAAGCTAGCGAAAGAGGGAAACTCATCACAAACAAGTTTTGTTGTTACTCAATTCGATCAGAAGATTGCTTGGTCAAATAAAACTCTCATCTACATATTCTTAGTCTCTAAATGAACCGTTTCTGTCTAAGCGATAGTGATTAACATCTTTTGTATGATGCTATACGACTCTCCAATATTGTTAATTTAGATTTTTGCACCTGAAAAGCAGTGGCTAGAAAAATTATTATGTTTCCAAGCTTTGTAATCTTTACATTATCACATTTTATACACGGTTAACTGTTAAGTTCATATCACAGCCACAAATATTTTACTGTTTGTCCATAAGAAATAGCGAAAATATTGAAATAAGTAGTGTTTTATTGCATTTAGGCATCCGTGATATTTTGTGCAAATGTCATTGTCAATTTCAAATGTTGATTACACTTTCTCCTATATTGATTTTTGTGACACTTGGCTACATGTTGATTCTTAAATCTGAATTTTAGATGTGAAAATGTAATTTTTCAAAAATTTCGCTGCCGTTCGCGCTTTTTTACAATGGTAAAACACTTAGGAAATACATTCTTTTAACCGTGAATTTTGTGTTTTGCTAAGAGGACTTTGAAATATATCATATAATGATTATCTATGTAAAAATCTGATTACATGTCATATATTTGGAGAGTAAAAAGCCCAGGCCTTGGTTTTATGCCTATTTACTATTACTAGTACAGTATGTCCTTAGTTATTACATTTTTGATTCAATGATTTAGACAGTTGTCAGCGTAAGTGTACTTAATTTTTAATTCAAATAATTATTGATAAACTAACGTACGTTAGTCGACTAACGGTTAGTTACTTAAGTAAATGTCAGTAGTTAATAACGGCCTTAAATTATGTAAGTTGTTTTAAAGTTTGAGTAAAAATTAGCATGCCATTCCTTCAACATATAATAGACTAGGCATTTCATTAGTGTTTTAATAGATTTTATTTTGTTAGGAATAAATGCAACTTCATGGTTTAAGAAGTAATATCGTCCAAAAGAAACGTTCCTTCGACATTATGTTTAAAAAGCGATATGAGCGTTCAAATTTAAAGTCTTTACGTGAAGTTACTCTTGGTTTGGATAATATTATGTATTAAGTTAATGCATCCTCTTGAAGATTAATGATTTTTATTTGACGAAAATTGATATGAAGGCTCAAGAGTAAAGTACAGGGTGTAGTGGATGAGACTTGACGGGGTAAACCAATTTGTTGTTTATTGATAGATTACACAGTGGCTTTGTAAAATACGGTTATCATACAATAAATACATTATTTGCACACTTTATTTGCATTGTCCTTTACACACTCCGTTATTCCCCTAATTCTTCTGTTATTTCGATTGTTCTCAGATTTCTTTTTCGTTCCTTTCATTGCAATGTTCTACGGCCAGGCATTCCACTTCGGATTAATGTTACATATTACTTATATCTGTCAACATGAATAACATACACCATAGGGATATTGATGAATTAAATTTTTATTTACCTCTAACAATTACCACATTGTATTAGTTTTAGTCATCATGTTTAGTTTGAAGTAATTTCTTCTTTGTGCGTTGATACCAAGTTATCGTCATGAATACTGTATTTAAGTGGTCTTCCATGTCGGTGATGAACAAACATCAGGAGTAATTCGTGCTATATCTTAAGTTTACCACGACTGAATATGTGATTCAGTGTAGTGTTTGAAATTTTAATCAGCTAGTTAGGAACGTTAGATATTTGAGCTTAAAGAATCACGAGAATGACCTCTTAGAAAGTGGGAATAAGTAGATGAAGCATTTGTCTAGTATTTTCTCAGTGATTCTTCAACTGATGCTAGTTATACAACTCCCTATTCATCAACTATCGTTAAGTTTTTTCATGATGGTAAATGTGTGCAACTCGATTTGTATATGTCTATACAATTTAATTTTCCCCTCTTCAAGCATGAGTGCTTATGAGCAGAGATGTTAGCGTGTTGTTAGCTTTTGGCGATATTTTCAGAGTAGCTTTATACATGAACTGAGAAACTAAAACTATAATCTCATATAAGTTCATAGAAATTTAAAACTAGTTGGTTCAAAGTGATGCTAGTGGTTCATTATTAATTCATAACCGTTTACATCCGTTCGCTCAATTAGTTGATTATTCATTCTTTAACCATAGTTCCTCCAGAGTTCTCGATACAAACCTCCGGAACGAAATCATTAGTCATGATTCATTTTAACATCAAATAGTCCTAGAGAAATATTGTTGTAAACTACTTGAAGAACAGTTGGAAGACATCACTGCCATTTCTGGTTAAAATTGCACCAAGTCCTCATAGACTGTCTATTGTATGTTTACTTAACTAATCAACGTTTTCAATATTCTAATAATTCTCTTATAAATCGTATGATGATATACTTAATGGAATGGAATTCGTCTAAAAAGGCATGTTTCTACCGAAAATTATGTGAAATATAGACATTAATATGTGTTTTTCTCTTTGTTAAATGTAAAATGTTGACTTACATTGGTCATGTTATTGTTTGTGTTTTGTTTATAACAAATTATTGATGAGGCGAGTATACATCAAGACGTTAATAGAACAAGTTTTCTTTTAAAAGTTAGTGGATTAATGATTTGTTTGTGTCGACAAGGTGTTGCTTTGTTTCGTTTTGTTTTTTAATATTAAAACCAACCAGAAATGAGTTTATCTGCATATTAAACTTTATCTGTCATAATAATAGCAAAACTTTATTTGATAAAGATGGATTTCTGTCAAGGTGAAGCAATACTAATAAAACTATATAAATAATTTTACTCTATATATTCACTAGTTGTTTACTTGTATCTTTCCATTGTTACTCTATATATGTTGTTGGGAATCAAGCTGGGCTAACAATTCCACTCTAGTTTATTTCATTCTTTTTGTGTTTAAGTGTAAATGTCCTGGTGGACATCAGATAAAGAAAGGTAGAAGAAATATTCCAAAGGAATCATTAAGTTAAATTAATCAAATAAGGTAACAGATGCGTGTAGACATACATACATAGATGCGAATATACTGGTCAACATTTCTTACTAACCTTATTTAGTGTTATGAAGAAGATGAATGACGATGAGTACAGTTTCAACATATAAATCACAGGTTAAGTAGGCAGCACAATTAAATGATAAGTTATCTGATTTATACCCGTATTTTACCAGAGAAGAATACAGAGCAATGAATAGATTTGTCTTAGCTGTTTGCTTCTTATAATATAATGGATAAGATTAGGGAGTAATTAGTACTAGACAAAATTATTCCTGTTTTTCAAACAAAAAACAATTTTTACTGATACGAACGAACACATACACTCGTCTAATTTATTATTATGCAAAAATCT